GAGTCCTATTAGTATTTGAAACTTGATTTAAGCCAGTAAAACGAAAGGCAAGTTGATATAAGGCGTGTCAAATTTTACAGGAAGCTTTTCGAATGCTTTTAACAAATTTAAATTGGTAATTTTTCTGTTTATAGGACGTATTAGCTTCTGTTGCCGGTTAAAGTTATACTGGATCAAGATGGTGATCAAAATGTTATACGATTTTGTGGCTGGTCTTCCTTTTGGTTTTTTCCTAGTGAGTCGGCTTTTCTTGCAATCAGTCTGTCTTGTCCATGTATTGTCTATCATTATGTCCAATTTGTTTTCATTTAGTTTTTCACCTTCTGATTGAATATTTAGCTCGCTATTTAATGTACTAATTTTCAAAACTCGATCAAAGGTATTTGCCATTGTTTTAACGTTTGAATTCTAATAATAATGTTCAGTTGCATGCTTTCTCCTAGCATTCTATTTTTTACTGTTGTGTTGTAAAATATTTGTGTTGTGTGCTTGATGATTTTTCTAACAGTGTCTCAATTTTAAAATAGATCCTACTTGTCTGCAATAAAAATTTAAAAATTTGAATTTCAAAATTTTTAAATATGTATTAATGCAAATCCGAAACAAGAGTTTTTGCTCCGGGCCGATTTTTGGAGAATGATGCAATTACTGTTGTAGCTAAAGGCAACTTTTTGGCATAAAAGAACGCAACTTCTTCGTTAAAAAATATAAACATTTGAATATTTGGGTATTTTGTTGTAAATTATTGCTTGTTTGGATGTAGACGCGGTAGTTCACGAGTTAATCAGTTGAAAATTGTACGAAATACTTAAACTGACTTTTGGAATAAAAATTATTGGCATAAAAATGGAAATACTTACTTAGTTATTTTTTAAAATTAAAAACTAAAAATATTCTTCACATCCAGTCAATATCCTACTCAGTATATTGTTCCAAATGTTAGATGATCAACACAAAAATAAACTTTTTTAAATTTCCCTATAGGTAACGGATAAAATTCGCCTTGAAAGAAAAAATTGTTTGAGAAAAAATCAATTGAAGCATGAATTATTCGTAAACAGTGTTAATATCAACTTATTCTAAGAACCCACCTTGCAAGCTTTCCCGTAAGGTAAACTCTCCAAGATTAAGGTAATTTCTTGAAAATATTTCATATTTAGTGCGCATCGATCTCTAACAATAAGCCTAATATAAATTTGTCCCAAATCTTCATAGACACCATTCTGACCTGTTTTTAATAATTTTGCTTTAAATCAAATGCTAGTTTATAAATGGAACCTTTACTGTTTTCACAAAATATATATGAAGTTATGAACATTTTTATTTATGTTTTTTGCTATATGCTATTCTATATACTTTTTGCAACTACCTGAATCCGGTGCCTGTTTGATTTTATTTCCGTTGGTGAAAAAGCAATACTTTCCACTTGAAAACCAAATCTTTGCTTAGTCTCCTCTCAATTGAAAAGCTGAGAATATCTTGTTTTGTTTACCTATCTGTTGTTAGTTTCTTGTATGCTTTTGGCTTAAGTAAATTTTTTAATAAAATTAATGCGCTTAGCTAGAAGTTCGTTTGATAATTAGTTGCCGTTTTAATTTGTTTTCAATGACTTACACAATAGTGTCGTAGTTTCATAAGTACAATCGTCTAGTAAAATATTGCCGATTTGGTGTAATTTTTTTGCAGTTTTCCTTTGGAAACGATCATTTTAATTTAAAGCTTGTCTTTTTAATACACATTTCTGGTATAATTTTGCCTTCTTGTAAGAATTAAAATTAGTTCAAGCTCAATCCTGTTTAATTTGTCTTAGTAGTATATAACATATCAACAAACTAATAAAATCATTTAACAAAGTAAAATGTTATTTTGAGTGCAGAAAGACCGATTGGGTCGGTAGTCTATTTCAGAAGGTCAAAAATTGCTGATCTTGGAATATAGTCAATAAATAAAAGAAAATTTTTTTTTGGAAATTTGCTCCGACCCATACATTAGTTTTTAATTGCGCTTTTTATTCATGTACGAAAATTTATAAAGCGTGTACAAAATTTGACTCTTCATTTTTTATGACTGTTAAAAAAGTTATATTATGCGTACTAGCTTCCGTTTTATTTCTTCTCGATTGAAGTATATTTCGTAAACACCAAGTAATTTCAAAATTAACAAATCCTATTAATCTCCATAAAGTTTCGTCAAAATAATGTTCAACTACAACTCGTTTTGAACATTTTCATTTACTTCGACGGAAATTCGCCTACACATGCATCTTATTTGTTCTTGCAACTCCTCATTGTTTTATGGTTTAGTGAAAAAAAAAGTTGTTTTCAAATACGCTCATAAGGAATAGTCCATAGGTGATAAATATAGAGACCTGGAAGTACAATTAATCGGTTCTCTGCCACGAATTCATCTGCTTTGAAATAAATCATCCAAATACTCATCTTGCAATATGAGCCTTGTTTATGCCAAATCTTCCTATTCGGGACATAGGAACTAGTTCTTTTTGTAAGAATTAAAAATTCCGCTCCACTGAGAATGCATCGGAAGAAAATTGATCCTATTGCTCGATCACCAACAATTCCTACTCAATCTTGAACTTTTTCGATATGTTTGTATGGCTCTCAATAATTGTGGGACGTTGTCTCCCCGATTACGACAAATTTTGATTATTTAATTCACAATTTAACATTAATTTGCTGGAAAATAGTACGTTTTATATGTTTGCATTTCTGTCTAGTAGACTAATCACAATTCATCGTTTGTTGGTAAAACTGGGGTATTCTATACTGATTATCTTGAGTGTCATTGAAGGATTTTTACTTGAAATGGATGAAATTTAATTCTGAAATGCTGGCCACTGAAGACTATTTTAGATTTTTCCTACGTTACTTTGCAATATGTGCGGTAAACCAAGATACTTTATTGAGTAAATGAATAACTTTCCTTTCAGTTTTAAGTAACAAATGTTCTTACTTGTTTCTAATTAACACGCTGCCTAATTTTTTTTCGACAGACGCTAAAAGAGCGCAATTTAAAATACATAACGGCATGTAGAAGATATGTTAGCAGTAAAGTAAAATAATGCTGCAGATCTAGTGCTGCCTTTGTATAAAAATGGTTATCGAGAAGACAACTTACAAATAAAAAAAGCTGGCTTATTTCCATCCAACTGGTCAGAGAGACTAAAGTCCAGTTCAAAGCTTCAACGCAATTTAAAGTTAATTTTGATGTAAATCATTTAGGAAATACTCGCATAAAACTGTGGAATTATTCTAACTCAAGTTCCTTCAAGCTTAAAATATCACAATGGATAGTAATTAAGTTTTAACATTCACTAATTGTTTTACAGGAAGTTAAATGTTGTTAAAGAAATGGTTGAAAGTCACTAAAGTAAAGGTAAAATTCAAAATTATCGGCCATGAATACACAACAATCATATGTTAGATTGTTCTAAATTTAAAGCCCATGTCGACACCCAATGATTAGAATAGAAAAGTAATTAGTGATTGGCATAGAGACGAAACCTCATGGATCCCATGTGCCGATGATTCAGACAAAAATTGTATCTAAAACGTTCTACTTTATATGTGTGTCTTGACACAATAAACTAATTTCTTGATCACATATTTTTTTATATATAAATTATAAACTAAGATACAGTCAAAGCAAATTTCTATTCAAAATTATGCTCAGAACAAATTCTGAGCTGATTATATATTATATTGTAATAACAATAAATAAGTAACAGTTACAGTGTACGGCAAATTTAACACGACTTCAGCACATTATATTACATGTGCGGTAAGAAGGCATTATAGGATTTAAATGAGATTAACCTGATTCGCATATTGAGCTCAATTTTCATTTGCATGATCTAAAGAAAATTGAAACAGTATTTAAAAAATTTGTAAGCAATTTAAAGTCATGTAAGTCAATGTAAGTAATAAAACGTATATTAAAATACAAAACAGTAAAGGATCTTGAGCATATTATCCAAAGAACAATTTCAATTTATTTAACCAGATAAATTACATAGTAATCCTAGAGACAAGAACAAAATACTTAATATTTATTTTTGCAAAAATTAAGAAAACAATGGATACAGAAGCTTTGTTAATGCCAGATCAATTGATATTACGCTTTTTTCATGAAAAAATAGAAAAAAAAACAATAAATTACACAAAATACAAGCCAAAATCTTAAACATAATTAATAAGAAATATTTTCTGGCAAATAATGATCCATTAAATGTCGAACAATTGTTTGCACTTGAGTTCCTTGCTTATCACTATAATGACCTAAAGGAAATCTATATGAATACTGCATCCAAGACCAGACACAAAATAGTACATATACCTAGGATGATGAAATGACCTAAAAGTGCTGAATCATAAAAGAAAAACAAAAAAAAAACTAAAAGTCATATTTATGGGGTGGGCTGAGGATATCTTGAATGGATTCATATAAATATGAAATTATTTAAATGTTTCTATATAATATACGTTAGTTTGTAAGTCAGTTTCTAGAGAAGCCAGCCTATGATATCTTGGCTATCTCTTTAGGATTACTATGTAATTTATCGGGTTAAATAAATTGAAATTGAAATTATTGGCAATTTTAAAAATATTTTTGTGCATTTTTGTAATTAGCACACTGCAAGCCACAATACCCTACTTATAGAAGTGAAAATAGTAACCCCAATCAAGTCATTAACACATCGAAAATTAATTGTGTGCATTCAAATTTTGAAATAATGGATAATTGATACTACATTTATACCGCGGCGCATTTCTTCATTTGAACTGATTTGAAATTTCTCGATTTTTGCTATTTCGGAGAATTTAAGCTTGAAAACGTATATTGCTAATCCGATTAGTGTTGAACAGGCCAATAGCATATAATTTTTGCAGAAAACTGTAAATATATTGTCACTCTCTGTCTCATTTTAACTAATACTAATCGATACGCACAAAAATTTTAACGGTTGTTAACTTTTATTACAGGAAAACGGAAAGCCAACAGTTACGACCAGAGTTTTCCAACGTCCAGTGACAGAGAAGGAACTTCAGACAGTTTGGGACGAGCAAACCCTTCAATTACTGGTAAAAATTGTCCAGTTATTATTAATTTATTAAAGAAAAAAATATAACCAAAATGAACCAACACTAAATCGATTAGGAGAAACCGAGATTTGTGAAATTTAAAATCTAGTTCCTTGAATCAAAAAATCTAATGGTCTGTTACTTTTAGAGAAACATTTTTATTTTGATTTCTGTACAAAATGAACCATTATTAATATAAATAATTAATTTGGGTTTATTACGAAATATAATTAAATTAAATAGGTATGTCAAGAATCTTCAGAAAGTGAAAAACAACGCAAATAGGGAACTGAAATTCCGCCCGACCATAGGAATTTTTTAAAACATTGTTATAACTTGTTAAAACAAAAGTTTTTGTACGAATAATTTAATATACAGCTAAGAAATCTTATTTTACATGCATATTAACAGATGTATTTCCATTTTATGGTTTAGTTAGAGCAAAGCACCGACTACGAGGAACGTCGAGTTATCAGGGCACGATTGCGCCAAGTAATGGCGGAACAAGAAGGTAAAAATATTACAGAAAAAATATATGCAAGATGTTTTTAAGTCGCACGGATTAAATTGTAAATCATTAAGCAAACATTAGTAAAGGTATTCTTTGAATGCCGTTAACTTATCCTGCTTACAAGAAAGAATTTCTCCAAACCATTACATTGATTTAGGTTTAAAAACTGCAATTTTTAATCCAACGTTCAAGTGAAATTTGCAATTAAAAACAAAAATAATAACACACAGGTTCACAATAAAACCTTGTTTTAAAATGTAACAATTTATGGCGGAACCTTCAAAAACATTTCCAAATAAAGCGAAATATTAAAGAAACTGAAAGAAGTCAATACATTTAGCAAATAATAGAAGCTTTTACTTACCCGATATTCGCAGTAAGATTAAAATAGTGGAACTCTGAAACACAAAAAGGAAAAAAAGAGCACATTATTAAACAAATGAAAATTAAAAAATTCAGCCGACATTTATAGATTCAAGGACATTTTAACAATATGAGACTAATCAATTTCTTGTTAAAGTAAGTTTTCTGTCTTCTCAAGAGTTTGTAATAAGCAAAACTTTTATGGTATTTGCAAATAAATGTACACGAAATAAATGAGAGCTGAGAGTCTTTTGCATTGTTTCAGCATCAGTTCCTTTATTAAGATGGGTGATTGGGAGCTTACTTGGACCAGATTTTATTTAAATATTTACATTCAATTCAAGTCATAATCAGGGTAAAATACTCCATAAAAATCCATCATTAAACCGGAGCCCGAAAATTAATTGTATCACAGAAAACACCAGATGATGTTAATTTTCCGCTTAATTATTGTTCGTCTATTAATTAATAGCCAAAAGCAACATTAAGGGGTAATAAATAGAACGCTAATTTTAGAGGCGACGCAAAATGTGAAAAAAAAATTTTGTTCGTAAACCTCATTTCAATATCATCAATATCAAGATTGAAGGAAGTTTGGTGATTTGAATGAAATTTGGGGCGAGTATACTTGACGTAGGTAATGCAGAATAACGGAAAAATAGAAGTATGATCTTAAAACAATTTCCACAGCCGGCAAATTCAAAAGGAAATACGGTTTTGTCCACTTTTGCGCAAACAATGTTGGTTATGTATTTTCATCTGCTCAACTCAAATCTACGCAAAAAATCGTATACGGGTTATGATTTTTCCGAAAAAATCGATTAAACTCTGAAAAATGTGATTTTTGGTGGTAAAATGTTGTGGTATAAAATTTTCTCTTGATTGACTCTTCAGTAAAAACATATCTTTATTTTCAATCAAGTCTTTATAAATTTAACTAATCTTGAGATTTTTTTTTCAAACTCGACGTTGATTGAAATTTGACCGCGAAACTATTACTTACATTCTCATTTTTTTAGTGAGACAAAATATTGATGCATTTACATCCAAACACCCTGCATTTTTGATGAAAGCAGACTTTTAACAAACGTAAGCTAAGCCTCTGATTTCGCCCCCCCGTACCAACCCACCTATAAATGACATAGACTTAAAAACATCTTGCATAACAATCCCATTGAATATTTTCCAAAAATTAGCCCATAATTCTGAAAATAATTTCTCAATAAAATGTTCTCATTATACTAACAGCCTCATTTTAACATTGTCTTTTATAGCATGCACGGCATTGGTTGACGAAGCCACCAAAGGGGAGGAACCGAAGACGCCCACCACCCCCATTGTACCCGGACAATTAGAGGGTGAGTCTCAACTGCTACCCTTACTGCAGGGCCTTCTAGATGCCCCAGAAAACGATATCACCCCAGACTCTGGAACGGAGTCGGGTGAGGATCAACGATCTTCCCTAATAGCTGAAGTGCAAACTGCTTTAGACAAGTTAAGTAACTCGTTGAAGAGCGATCAGACTGATATAACTCCAGAGCGGAGAAGCAGTTTGCTCCAGCTGGTCACCAAGTTGCAGGCTGGCCTAAGTGGGGGAACCGGATGTGAGAGAAGGTCCTCAACTGTGAGCAGTGGCAGTAGATTTCAGAAACGAAAAAATAAGCAAGCTAGACATACAGTGGGCGTGTCCAAAGAAGAACTGGCTGACGCGAGAAGGCTAATAGAACAAATCTCACTGAATGAGCTAACTCCTTCAAATAGCACCGGGAAACTTAGCTTGAGCAAGCAAAACAGTGAGAGCAGTGTCCCTACTAGCTCAGCTAACTCTTCCTATCGCAGTGTGCCTCACAAGGTAAAGAATGCCGTTGCGAAGCCTTTCAGTTCTTCAAACAGCACCTCATCTTCTGTCCACACTCCTACGGAACACTTGGAAGGATTTGACGGCATCTTTAATGAAGAGAAGGAATCTGGTTCAGCCACACCAAAGCCAGTTCTTGAAAGGAATGCATCAGTGGACTCAAATGTTAGCATCAAATCCGCATATAAAGCTGTGCAGCAAGCAGCAGCAAGTAAAGTAGAGGCGTTAAAAAGACAGAAATCCAAAGAATTGCCAGTGGAACCGTCAGATTCTGAGGAAGTTGAAGAGGAGGAAGAAGATGAATCAAGCACGGTAAAAGCCGCAAGCGATTTAGAAAATGCTCCATTGAAAAGCAACCCAATCTACTCAAAACCCTTGATCGACCACGAGGAGAGATGCAGCCGATTCGACACTCAGAAAAAGCTGAAAATGAAACGCGCAAACACCATCGATATTCCTAAACCGTTAGTTTTCTACGAAGATGAAGATGATAGTGAATCGGAAGACGATGGCCACAGAAGACGAGATAGCTGCCAATCGCTTCGAGGCCCTCTGAACGTGGGAAATCCACACACGAAAAAAATCGTCCCAGCTTTTGAGCCGAAAACCGAATCTGATAAAAAATTCATGGCATTTATCAACAAGCACAACGACAATAATGCGAATAAGGGCTCGATATGGTCAAGTAATTCTTCAGTGTGGGGCAGTCGATTTGGAAACATTAAGAACACATTTGAAAACAAATCCAGCCAGAACCCAAAAAGCTTTTGGAAAACGGCTGATGATAATATTCAGAAATCCAACACAAATCAATTCGGGCCAAAGATTAGCCGAAGAAGTGCCCGAAATCTGCAGCAGATGTTCGAAAAGAAGCAAAAAGAGGCTAAACCACTTCCAAGATCAAGGAATGTGGTTCAACAACAGAATCATGTTGCTCCTTTGCAGCATCAGAACAAACCATCCCAAGTGCAAAACCGACATCTAAGTCAGAAATCAGCCCAAACAGCAATCCAGGATATTCCAGTGCAACACCAGCAACAACAGAATGTAGTAACTGGAGTTCTGCAAGTTAAAACACCTGCAGAGAAACACTACAGAGTAGTTCCTCAGCCGCTGCCAGTAAATCAGTTTTCTCATGCCCCGCAAAGTGCTTTCGTCCCAATCAGGAGAAGTTCCCAGTCGCCCTTAAAACGGTCCTCCTTGGTCTTTTCCCCTGAAGGCAAAGAGATACTCAAGAGCGAAATCAAAGAAAATGGGGGATCGTCCTTTTTGTACAGCCCCAAACCGATGTCAAGTTCTGTGGAAAGTTCCACAGTAACTTCGCCGGTAACTTCAAAACCTTGGGTATCTGTTGCCAGCAGCAGAGTGCTTAGTTTAGCAGCGTCTAAATTCGAACAGCCTGTACAGCCAGTCGCTCTAAGATCTCGAAACAGGGACGTGAGTTCAAAAGCTACCAACCAAGTAAGTCCAAACAGAGCCTCATCATATTTACCTAGAACTACGGTTGATTCTAATTCAAGCGTTGTCCGCAAGCTTAGTGGACAGTATGAGGACAGTCATGGAAAAGCGCCGGCTCAAAGCAAGCCCCAGACATATCAGGTGAAAACAAGTGTGGTTGAAAGCCAGTATGAGAAGCCGCACTATGAACCAAATGTAAGGGCGGCTGCGCCATCTATGCCTCTATCGCCCCCACAAAACTACAGCATCAAATACGACCGGCCCCAAAATTACTCCGTGAAATACGATCAACCAAAGTCAGTTTCCTCCCATAACTACTCACAATATGAGGGCCATCAGCCTCAAAACTTCTCCATCCGGTACGATCAAGCGCGACCTCAAAACCTACCTCAGAACTACAGTATTAGATTCGACAAGCCGGCAAAGTCAGAAAATCATTTACCTCCTCAACAATACCAACCTCAAAACTACTCGATCCGGTACGATCAAGCAAGTAAGCCTGCATCAAAACCCAGCAGCTTCAGTCAGGCACCTTCCCATCCCAATCCGATCTACCAACAACAGCAGTCCGTGCCTGAAAAACCAGGAGTGCACGAAACCGAATATACGTCTTCTTGTGTGTTCAAACCAAGTCAATCAAAACCAGCCCCAGTCCAAGTGATCGAGCCCCTGATCCAACCGCCCACCATCCAAAGGCAAATTTCTGACGATAGTGTTCATGAACATAAAGCAGTGAGTAGCCGAGTGATGTCGGGGCCTGTAGGTCAGCAGGCTGTAACTGTACGACAGAAATCGCCCATGAATCGGGACCAACACGACATGGCGGCAGCATTTAGCCTGAAAACGTCCCTGCAGAAAGTCGGCAGGCAAGATTCTAATTCCCAACCCGCACCAGTTGCAAGGCCTGCTCTCACCAGATCCCCAGTTCGATCCCCCAGCAACAGTTTCAGCTACAAGCCGCGCGAACCACTAAATCGAAGTCCCAACTTAACTCAGAGTTTCAAGTATAAAAGCGAAGTAGATGCAGAGCTTAACAAGTACAAACCGAGCGATTGTCCAAAGCCGACAGTTTCGCCAAGTAGTTTCAAGTTTAAGAGCACCTTCGAGGACATGCACCGAGAGGGTAAAAGTTGCGGGGTAGTGAAACCGATGCAGCAGCAAAAAACCGTTACTAAGAACGAGGTAAATTCCTCATCAAAGCTATCGGTGGTAACTGGACAATTTCACATTCCAGTTATCAATGTTAAGTCCCCAGAGTCTCCACGGGTTCCCACCCAAGCTCAGGTGTTGGGCAAATCTGACTCTTGGCATGAAATCTGTATGGCCCATCAAACCACCAATCAAAAGCCAGCACCCAAGCCGGGTCCCGTCAAATCAAAGTCCAGCAATACGCTGGCAGTGCCAAAGATGTTTGAAGCAGGCATGAGCAAGGATGAAATGACGCAAAAAAGGAAAACCATGGAAGCATTCCTGACAGGAAATACGAAATCCAGTAGTGATGCCAAAATGGTGAAAAGAAGCATAAATAGAGTGAAAACATCACAAAAAGTGTCCACCCAATCTCGAAGCGGTGGGGGATTGATCAGGAGTAGAACTTTGCCAGACATGGTTTGTCCGGAACTTCTCGATGAAAGTAATGTAGAACGAGCGTTCGACGAGTTATTTGAATGCTCATAACTCGACTTAACGGAGAAGACGCAGACCTAATTCATTCCATTTCATGTTATAATGTGGAATTCGTTGTTTTGTACTTGTAGATTTAGGATGTAAAATTGTAGATTACCAAAAGAAGTTGTTTTGTTTGAAACGAAGAAAGTGTTACAATTCGAGATTGAGTGGTGGGCGTACACCCCACAACCTCAAGAAATTGTACGGGTTGCAGAATGAAACGAAAGATAATTTAGAAGATTGTTAGTAGTTTGAAGCGGTATTTAATCGAGGACCGGACGGGAAGAAGCTCTAACCAAACATAGGAGGGTGAGGACATAAATGGAATGCAAACATGCTGTGTGGGTGTACGCTACACCTTTTAACTAAACCACCCTTATCCCTACTGACGCGAATGTCTACCTAAAATGCAGCAACAGCCTATGCGCTCGTCACATACAAATTAAAACTTTCCCTTTCGAAGTTTTTGTTTGTCCATTTTTTGCGTCCATTTAGCCTAATTTTTTGTAGTGTATGGATCATCTGTATAGTATCATTGTTTTTATTATTTTTTGTTGTCATGATTTTTATTTTGTTTTTCATCTTTCATCGTCTACACCAGCACTAATAGATCGTGCTAATTTGCAGTAGTTTCAGAATAACACTAAATTAGCCGTTTCAAATTTCAATTTTCTATAACTGTTAGTGATATTCTGGAACCGCTATATTATACTAAGTTTTGTATCTGTCCCTGTCCTTTGCAAATTTTGATTTGATTTTTCCCATTGTTTTGAGTTGCTAACATTTTGTAATTATACGTATATGTTTTTCTTTAGCCATTTTCCGTTGTTCATAAGAAGGCTGATAGTTTAATGTGGTGTTTCTAATTTCAGAAGCCGTGGAGACCACCAAAGAAGTCAAGAAGGAAGGTGACGTCACTACTACAAACGGTTTGTATTTTTTCGGGTAATAATTTGAATAATTTGAATAATAATTTTGCGAGTGGTTATGCTGTTTTTTCTTAAATATCTATCTGATAAAATAATATTATCTATTATTTTTTTAGCTATTTACAAAATAAATATACTTTTCTTGATCCCCTGGTGGAAAGTAGATTCTTTCGTAAGTGTTTTCGATGGCGAAAGAATCACTTTTACCCATTACAAATTTTCTTCATCCCATGTGGAAAGTAATAACTTTCGCCACGCACACTGACAGTTTGACTTTGTCACTGACTGTCAGCTGACTGTTTTGATAACATTTTCAAAAGCTTATACCTTTTCTCGGCTAATTTCCAGCGAGGATCAACAAAAATAGTATACGGTACGAGAGAGAAAGTTGAAGGTCCGCCACTGCGTGCATGACCCCCTCGGCTTCGCCTCGGGCGTCAACTTCAAGCAGTGGCGGAACTTCGACTTTCATCTCTTGTAATATACTGTCTATTTCTTACAATTGTTTTATTGCTATATTTTCGAGTTTATGTATCGTTTTTAGTTTTCAATATTTTTTTCCAGTTACCACAACAGTTACCCAACAGCAAGTGAGAGCCCCTAAACCCATGTCACCATTTGCCAAGTTTCGCCAATTGGACAAGCAAAACAGTATCAATAAACCAACACCTCCAAGGTAATAAAAATGTTCTGGTTGATTTTATTGTATTAAAATGACAAATGAGCGCATAAACAGGGTCATTGATACGTACGCAGTGAAGATGAAAAGCAAGAAACACAAAATTAAATCACAATTTCTATAGTTTCCAAGCAAAGTAAAACTTTTAAAATCTGATTTAAAAATATGTTTTTTCAAGTAATGTTTCATTTTTTTTCCTTATCATAGACTTTCTCCTTCAGTTCAAATAATTTTAAACTGATTTTTACTTATTTTAAAGACGAAATGTAGCAACTATCCATATTTTCAGTATTTGCGGCAAATAACAAACACATATACACGGTGTTTGGAGGGTGAAGGATATTAAATTACCATTTTAATATTTTATCATAAACCTTTTTAATCACTTTGTTTCAAGATTCTTACTATCAAAGTCGTCAAAAAAGAGCAATTAAAAGAGCAAGGAAGAAAAAGTACAAAATCGATAAAAAATATACAAGGTGTTTCATGAGGAAGGGGCATTATTTTAACATTAATCTTTATTTTTAAACTTTAAACTTAGCAGGTATGCACGCCACCGAAGTTGGTAAAAGAAAAATGGTACTCCACTGTATTTTCAAATACAGTGGCGTACTTACCATTGACCATTTAGTGGCCAACGTATAAAATATTGAAATGTTTTAAAAGGTAGACTTTTTTAATATCAATAAAAATCCATAGCTACAAATGTTAAAAAATTAAACATTTGATCTCCACACACTTATCGACTGTTTTTATGATATGAGATCAGTTTTTATCTACTGCTATAACCGCTTGTCGTATCAAAAAAATGCTAGATATAATTTTTACCGAATTTGAATTTAATTATATAAATAATTTATTTAATTTGAATACTAGTTGTAATAAGTAAAAAATACAGTGGTGTACCTTTTTTTCCTTATCAATTTCGGTAGCGTGCAAGTACGCACCCTACTGGCAAAATGTTGCAAAATTATTTTATCGCAAAACATGCGTCTGCTCTTGCTATTGATCCATTGAAAATTTCGTTAAAATATCTGGCATGGGTTTTGAATAAATTTATCATTTTGCATTTTAAATTTCAACACACTATAAATCTGCAACTAAGCATTTTAGGCTATCGTCTATATAGCAAACGTGGGTTATTTTTATTATATTAAACAGACGAGTGTTTTGAATAGTTTCAATTATTATAGAATGATATTACTTTTTATGTGCTAAGTTATTTTCACGTACTAAATTTAGAACATGCCTTGACCTGATGAATTTTATACATACAAATTTACCGACTTAAACTAATTAGTTAAGGAGTTAATTAATTATTTCTCGAATTACCGAAACATTGAACCGAATTTTATAGAATCCGTTTAATCAAGCCCCTAGATGAATAAGAAAACATGATTGTATTATTTTACAAGTTTCACTTGATTCAATTCTTGTAAAACCTCGGAATAAAAAGAACTCTAGCGGAACTATTCAGAGAAAATGAAATAAATCAACGTCAAATACAACCTATTCTAATCGACTTTCAAACACCCTGTATATATTAAAGTAGTAAAAAACGGCGAGTTAAGGTTCAATCCCAGGTTTTTCAAATAAACTGGAGCTTTGGATTCAAGTTTCAATCTAATGGACCCAAAAATTATTCCATCCTTCGCATTTTGAAATATACGCCAAATTAGATTAACTAGCATTTAGTATTAATCCAGGTACCCCTATCACACCAACAATTACACATCTGGATTAATCAAAATTGATGCTTATGTAAGAGTGTAATGCCTTTATCATTAGCCATCTTAGCTCAATTTTAAACCTAGTCGCTTTATTCACGACACTAAAACACTATTGAATGCTTGCTTTATACCTTTAGAGTAGACATACTAGAATTATCATATTTTGGATCACAGAGGTCAATCGGAGAATCGATCCTATACATTCAGACTGTGCATAAACAATTAGATAATATAATGAATACCCGCAAAATGATTTTTCATTGGTTTTCCTTCTAGTCGCAGGTCTTGCAGAAAGTTTATCAATGTAGAGGAAGTAAAATTCGAAACTAGACGATTATTTCAGATTCATACTAGCAAATTGCGTGTTGAGCTTAGTTTTCGACAAATTTACCAGCAAATTTAAAAAAATTCTTAAAGTTGGATTTGACATAGAATTGAACTATTTGGAAATGGTATAAAATTCCGAACGAGGGTCACAAAAATGAACTAATTCGGCAACAACTTATGACTATGACTCGCACTTTATTATTGCAATTTCCTCGCAATATTTACAAGTATTTATAATTTTTTTCTCGGAAACGTAATTTAGTAATTTAAGATCAAGAAGAAACCATCTATATTTCAAGGACACATTAACATGAAGTTTAAACAAACGAAACAAGCGCGGGTTTAATAAGCAAAGAACCATAAAGAATAAAATGAGCAAGAAATCGATAAATTATCATGAAACCGACAAAATATTGTGAGATTGTCTTCGTTCTTTTGCATTGTTATATTTAAAAAAATATTAAACTAATTTTTTTTGCTGATATTGGTAGCATTGAAACCTCAAATGTATATAAAGGAAAACAACTTTACATAGTGTTCGATTGTATTATGCACCCTTCTATTGATATTTATTTGTTAAAAAAATCATTAAGAAGTGTTGTCCACTTGTCTGCAAATGTAGCTACTAAGAGATTTTTTCAAAAAATAAAAATATATTTTTACGCCTGTTTGCATGCCAGTTAAAAACACTTAATAGTTCCACATTTTGTTTTCGAAAAAACTTTTATCAACAATTTTTATTATAAGTACCAGACACTTATTAATTCAGTTTTGAGTAACCATTATTATCATCAAAACAAACTTGTTTCTACTTATCTTAAGAAAAGGCACTACCTGGCGTTTTCCATAAGTTCAACTATTGAGAAATGAGCTCTGAGAAATTTAACGTTTTTAAGAATTTTACGTTTATAAAACCTGACGAGTGTGGCATACAATTTTTGCAAAGAACTGTTTCCATCCCTAGATATTCAAAGATGGTACCGTTAGCTTCAAAATACTTGGCTATTTTTTAACAGCTTCTTTTTAAAGCAAAATTTTTAAAAACATAAGCTAATTTGAGTCAGCTCAAAGTTAAGAAAACATTTAGTGGCGAGCCTACATTGAGTTTGAGAATGAAAGGAAGTAATAAAAAAAATTATTAACTAAGATAAAACAAAACTTAAATTATCAATGTTTTTGAAAGTCATTGTAAAATGTTTGGGTTTACTTCACTTCACTATGTCATAAGCACCTTATTCAATTTTAGGAAGTTGAGGAAATATCAGTGCAAATAATTAAAAAAATGATGGCGTGAAATTAAAATTAATGCTCAGATTATGATATTACTGGCTTCAAGACTCCAAAAATGCTCTTAGTATTTGGGTACTCAGATTAGCTCAAAAAATGCTGTAAAAGCACCATCCAAGTCTCCTTACGGGTCCACATTTTCTTTATTTGAACTCGACCGAAATCTGTTGCAGGACTAGATTTAATCTAACTCTGGATTTATGAACGTAAATGTGCTATAGATGAAGAAATCGTGTGCAAACTGTTGTTGCAATAATCCTTAAACTTGTAAAAATATATATCAAGAAAAGTTTGAAACCGGTGCCGAACATAATAGGTGTGGGATAACCCTCAGATTAATCTGTTTGGGATAAACTGTTAAAGAAAATTTCCCAAGAGGTTGATTTGTGTGAAAATGCAACTTGTTCACATTATACAGGGTGTCCCGTAAATATGATGATCAAAAGGGCACTAATACATTCTTTGGCTCAAATGAAGACCAAATTAACTAACTTTTATTAAGGAAATATATCTGGCTCCTCGGCTATTGGTCACAGTTCCCAAATATCTAGCAAATGGTACTACGGATTTTAAGGATACATCGATTTAATCTGTCGATTTTGCAAAAAATATTTTTTTTCAAGAGTTTTTACTATTAATTGCAGAGGAGCCAGACATTTTTTCTGAATAAAGACCAGACCGGCTTATTTTGGTCCAAATAACATCGCAGTCCCCTTTTCATCATGTGCCTACGGGACACTCTGGATATGCACATTTTTATGATCTTATGACAAGACCCTGCAACCATAAGGAAAAAGTTTGAATTACCAGAAATATATTTAGTTATTTGCGCAACTAAGAAAAATGGAAATCCGATTGGTCTCTTGTCCTTTAAACCATTCTCACTCTTCTAACCCTTTAATGCTCGGTTGGTGCAGCACCCCGGGCACTCCCCGAGGCTCTGGGCCCCTCTTTAAATTCACCGATCCGGCCCTGACGCAGTCCGCGAGCACAATTAAAGACCGCCTCTTGCACTGGTGTCGGATGAAGACTAAGGAGTACGAGGTACGAGTTGTGTTGATTTTTCGGTTTGGTGTTGTTTTGACTTGTTTTTTCCCTGTTGTGTTTTTACTTTAATTTAATGGTGTTTAACACGCTTAGCAGTGATCGAAACTTGATTAAACTCACTTCAAAACTTGAGTGGTGCTTAATTAATCATCAAACTGGTGAATTGAGATCTATTTGGTGAAGAAGTTCTACAGTTAGATATGTAGTACAGTATATATATAGAAAACCCTGTATATGGTTGAGAAAAAATATTTTGAGCACATTTAATGAATGCGGGAAAATTGATCTCATCAAATTAGAAACTGAATTAAATCATCCAGTTAAAGCGTAAAGAAGCTACTGAACTTGCGGAAGTGTTGCTATTTATAATTTTTAAAACGTAATATAGGCAAAACGGCTAATACAAAAATAAGCAAAATAATACATATTTTCGATATAAGGAAAAAAACTAAATCGACTTGTCTAAAAATATATAGGGTATTTCATTAAAAAAATAGAGTTTATGTAAAATTTTGGCATTTTCGTGTTTTATATTTTTATTTTAAATTCAGATTTAAAAATTTTTTAAAAATTAAACAACTTTTGTGCAGGTGACTCACATTTTTTTTGAAATAAACGATCTAGAGGGGGTGTCAACTTATGAGGAAACTCCCTGTACATGTAAAAACGACATAATTGATTAAAAGTGTTTTTTACGCAAGAACCGGTACACATCGTTTTTTACACATAATTTTTGGTTGCTTCATATGATTTAAAACAGCTTCAAAAATGAATAAAAAGAAAAATCCGGAATACTGCTTATTTCTAAATCTCTTTAATAAAATGAAAATAAAAACTTGTTTTTTGAAAACGCCATGTATATGACCCCCTGAATGCGCAACTTTTTCTTAATTTAACCGACTTTCTATTTCTTACGGTTCGGAGATCCCCATGCAATGAATCCTTGTCTTGGACACCCTGTATATCTAAATATTCTTGCATACTGTAAGGTCTCAATTCAAGAAGCATTTTCTGCAATTTATTTTTAAAACGTCTCTTAAGTGTTATGTTTTTAATATTGTTAAGAAGTTTTATTCTCATATAATTTGGACTTTTTCCGAAAATAGTTATTCTATACGTCTGAGCGTTTCCCAAAAAACAGTCCGATGATTTCTAAATTAATTTAGACGATATTTCTTCGACTTTTTGAACTTATACAGGGGACCCTTTGGAAATAATCAACTTCCGAAAAATGTTATTATGCAAAATTCGTTAAATGATTCAAATTGAGAAACAAGTTTCGGTAGATTCCTACAAGTGAAAATATTCTTGGTTGGATAGAAAAAATCTAAAGCCGAAGTTTTTTTTACTGTTTATTTTGATTAGAAAAATCCATAATTAGGTAGGAACGGTAGGAACCGTATCTAATGAATAAGTAAAGTTACATTAATATTTAATAATAAAAAAACAGCAATAGTTTATGACATTTTCAGGATCTTTTGGATGAGATAAAACAATAAAAAATTGAAAATCATTCGTTACATTTTTAGGTTGTTTTTGTTGCTTCTTTAAACTCCACTTTAGAAACTGCCTGTTATTCAACTTTTAAACATTTAGTCAACGATTTTCATTGAATATTTACAAGCGGTTGACTCTATATCATTTCTTCACAGCATGTCAAATTGATTTAAATGAAGCTAAGCAGCCATGTATCGGTAGTAAATGAATAACTATTTTTTTCGTGAGCTCTACTGATTTTTCAAGTTGCAATTATTCGAGCAGTGTTTTAAATTGCCATGTTCCGAGAGATGGGCTCAGGAATACTCATTTCTCACCTAAGTTTTTGCTTGGAACTGGGATTAATTTTAGTTAATATCCCTACTGAGAATAATGAGTTCTCTTCAATTCTTCAAATGGCGTGTTTTTAAATTGCATGTCTTTCCTTGTAATTTCACTTCAATTTATTGAGATTTTCAGATTGGAAACTCACACCTGACTCTTCTGCTGATGATTTATTCAAGTATTTTACTTAAAATTTCTGCAAATTTTACATAATTGCGTTATTACGCTATTACTTATTAAGTTTTTGAAATCATAATCTGCTATATTGTATCAAACCATTTAACGCTTTCTTATATTTGACTACTCTATTCCTTCAGTTCTTCCTTTTAAACCGGTTAAATAAGCTCATAAATTAGTAATAAACAGGAATTGAATAAAATCTGGAGTCAAATTCCCTGTTGCTGTATCCAGAGCAAATGAGACATAACTTTTAATTTTTTGGCAGGGTCTTCATTCATTCATTCAAGATGGTCGCTTTGTTCTTTCTTTATTTTCAATGTCAACTTCGCTTAAATTACTATCTATTTCAGTCATATACTGAAGAATATTTTCAGCATCTCCGTAAGGTGAAGTGGATGATTTCTGTTCGCCTCTATATTAAGTATGAGGTGATATTAAAATTTTCTTATTGAAAATTGTTTACTGATGCTATTAGAAGTTGAGCAACTGATATATCTTTATACCTGAAGTTGACTATCAATAGGATTGAAATAATGTATAATGTAGACAGTATGTCCGCGTCCGTTTCCAATATAGTAGGTATACCAAGCATTTACAAGGTAAAACTTTTAAACCGCTTCAAATGAGAGTATAATGTTCAGTTTGTATAGATGTTCCATCTGCAACTGCAGGTAAATTAACCAGTCCCATTCAACATTCAACATTCAATCTGCTACCTCCACTAAAAGCATGAATCATTTTGATGTGGCTTTTTTAACATAGTATAGATCTGTATAAGACTTGTGTAAAACATCAAACAGTTTCAATGCTAGAGACTAAATGTTATTGCTTTTACAGAACATTCAACTGGACAACTTCTCAAGCAGCTGGGCAGATGGACTAGCCTTTTGTGCATTGATTCACCACTTCTTGCCGGAAACTTTCGACTACAGCATCCTCACGCCCAAAGAACGCAGACATAATTTTGAGCTGGCCTTCCGAATTGCAGAGTAAGTTAATGATAAAAATGTGAAAAGGGGTAAATGTATGAATGTGTGTATTCAAAGAAAAAATGTATGCATCAAGAGCACTTTGTTGTTCATGAAAGTTGGAATAAAAGCATAGAAGCTGTCTTGTTTTCGTATACCTACATATATGAGAGGAACAGTTACTTCAATATTCTATTTAAAATTGATGATATTCTCTCAAAGAAAATGTATCAATATTTTTTCATCTGAAGGTAAAATATAAAATGTAGGAAAGTGAGAAGTATAACTCACTTTTCTTCGATGCAAAATATTTTTTTACGAATTTCCTAGCATAAAATCCCACTTCTCTTGGAAGTTCCAATTTGTATTCTCGTTTTAACACGCAATTTGCAATCAGTTAATATGATAAAATAAAAAACAAAGAATAACTCTTCGACAGTTCAAAACATAGATCGAAAAAAAATTAGAGTAACCTAATTAGATCGAGATTTAGCAATAAATTTAAAACTCTAGTAATTAATCTTTATATTTCAGTGAGAAAGCCGATATTTATCCTTTATTGGACGTAGAGGACATGTTAGAAACACGAAGACCCGACTGGAAGTGCGTTTTCACCTATGTACAATCCATTTACAGACGTTTCAAAGACGACGATTAAATTATTAAAATATACTTTTTATAATTTTATACTGCCAAAAGGTCTAGTAGCTGTAATTTCTTTATAATTTACCCATTTAAGTACAGAACTGATACGATGAACAAGATGTGTAAATATTTGTAAAAATATGTTTACAATAACAAAATTATTTTCATTGGGTAAATTATGAAAAAATATTAATTAACTGTAAATTTAATGTTTGTTTTGTTTGATATTAAATATTTGTGAAGCTGTTTTATATGTTCCTTTTATAATAATTGTTAAAATTTGTGGTGCTTTTTTATTAATCGCTACTGTGATTGATTATTTTCGTACTGAACCATAAAAAAGCATTTTAAGTGATCTTTAGATCTCTCGATATATTTTTGTTTCCGTTTAGATACCAGACTTTTATATTTTGCCCAGCTGTTTCTATCCATACAATTAAGTTTTTACCTAGTTTACTTGCACATGAATGAGTTTTTACTCTATTAGATTTTTAACTTTCACTTAGACGTTTTGCTTATTTATTTGAATCTTGTTAAGGGATGTTGCAGAAAGCTTGGTATTTTGCTTCTAACATTACATTGTATAACAAAAAGCCATTTTTGCCATTGCATTGTATTACACTATTATCCAAGATGATAATTTTACAGCTATTTCTATGTGCCTTAATTGTTATAGTCCCGCATTTTAAAATAAACCTTACCGACTAAATATACATTTATATACAGAGAATCTAACAAAAATATATAATAATTGTTTAATGAAGAAAGGTGTTTTATTTCCTTCTTCAAATTTTAAAAATAAAATAATAATACCGTGACGTTTAATTTCGTGCACTTATACAGCGTGACTCTAACGTATGGGATGAGTATTGAAAAAGCTGCATAAGAAACCAATTGAAAGGAAATTTACCTCTTCTTTTGCTAAAAATTTGGCCTAAACGAGTAAATAGATAAATACTGATGTCTATTTCTGTTTTTTAGATTAAGAACCTTTTTTATTATAATAGTTCTGAGTGATTCAGACGAATCTGGTGTAGTTTGGGGCTTGATTTTATTTAGCACAGGCCTATACCACTCTTAAAAGAATTATTTCTGAGATAATTGAATTTTCATACTTCGAAATGAATTGAAATTTGCAACAATGTACATTTTGAGTTGGATGTAGATACAACCGAAGATGGTGCCAACTTGAGAATACTTTCTTTCAATCACTTTCTTCCAACGACTTTGGTGTGGGGTCAAAATTTCGAAAACTTTTATACATTTTTCAAAGCTATTGAAGAAAATATTTCAACAGATCCACTAAATAAATATAGAGTCAATTCTAAAATACGGAAAATACTAAAACATAAATTTAACACAATCTTGTAAAAAATTGCCAATATTTTGAATTTTAATAAATTATACAGGGTGATTCAAAATTAGACATTCTGTTTAAAGGGCCTCACTTGGATTGTACGAGAAAAATATTGAAATTTTGCAAAAAAATTATTAACAGTTGAAAATCGAATTTCAACTTTGTTATTAAGCATTATTTTCAAATTGTCCCATGTTTAATTGGAAGCATATTGGAATACTTAAGCATTCAAAATGAAAAATTACGATCTTTGCTTCAAATTACGAAACTTTCTGATATTAAAAAAGTTTCTCTTACTTACTCACGCCAACAAAGGGCGAGGAGAGTGGTACCAGGAAGATAGTGGACGACAATAGATGTTCGGGTTACAGACACAGAGGAAGAGGCATTGGAGATAATTGCATCAGGGCCTTCCAGGGGTACGTCGAGCATTGCACAACAACTAACACTTTCCCAGGCACCAAATAAATACCGAGGAAGGGCTGCATTCCTACCACGTATGTAAGATACAAACAGCACAAGCACAAGTTAAACCAATAGCTTACTGAACACCGGTACAAATTGAGCAGGAGTTAATTCACCGAATACGAGAAGCTGCTCGAGAAGAATCATAGAACAAGGCTTATAGGCTGAGAAGAATGCATAATAAGGTGGTTACACAGGCTCTAACTTGGAGTTAACGACTGAAATGTATGTTTATTTGTATACAACTCAATTCGAGGTTATGAGGACCATAAAAAACCATTTCTCATTGACGATATTTGACATTAAGAAAAATACGTTTCCACATTCAACGAATTCTGTTGAATTTACCGTTTATCCTTGTCTATTTTATTGTCACTTTCTGTATAATTCCATGGTTACCGGAGATTTTAATAATTACGAAGGAACAGGTATTTACGTAATGTTAATTAAGTAGATTACATTGAAAAACATTGTTGCCGTCTTTCGGATATAGTTTTTTTCAAAATGTCTCAGCTTTTAATAACAGTTAATTGCTTTTACTACTTTTCTGTACTATTAAAACACCCCCAGACAACACCTCAAGAGGAATGACGCAAATTTTGAATCACCCTGTGTGATAATACTTGATGAAAGCACAAGCGAAACGTTGGATATAAATATCAATTGAGAGCTATTTATGACGATGAAATAATTTATCTGAAATCGATGATGTACATACAAAAAATATATTTTTTTAACTTTAAAGAAGCATATACAAACGCTGGAAATTTTCAACGAGGTCAATGTCTCAAACTTTTATTCAAAATATTGACCAAGTAGTACTCTGGGGCGCCACTGCGATTTTAATGTTATTTACAAAAAACTTTTATATAATTTTTAACACTGTACCTATACTGAAATGAATCATTTCTGGACCTACACTCATATACACTTTTATTCTTAATTTCACTCAGAGAATCACCGTGTTTGGCTACGTACTTAAAGAACCCGTTCCTAATAAACAATGACAAGCTGGTTGGAATAAAATAATTTATAATAAATGTAGCGGTTTGTTTTTGGAAAAATGTGGAGGCAAAACTCGACCAGAAGCTAAAATTTTCAATGCGCTATTAAACTGTCGTTAGTTAGCAACATAGAAACAAAGTGTGGAGAATTTTTACAGATCTTACCTTCCGCAAAAAATAACTACAGGTCTATATGTCTATATGTCTACGAGTCTATATGTCTTAAATGAAGTAAATGGTAGTAAGAACTCTATTTTACTTCTAATTACTTCTGGAGAACGTGTCTTTACATCCTCTAATCCCGTATACTTTATTTCATCAATCTATTCATATCAAAATTATACTTCAATTAATTCCAAAAAAAGAAAGAAGAAGCATTCACTTGCAAAAGAATTGAGCATTTATTTAATTTTTCCTTCTGATTGCAAAAAGAAATATCGTTTTTCAGCTTCTGCCGCAAGCAGAATCATGTTAAACGAAGAAAACTGCAATGCCGTTCCCCATTTAGAGTTTAATCAAAAAATATAGTCTGAAAATAACTTCCCAACATTATCACTAACTATTTTTCCAGTAACGTTGCTTTTGAAACGCTTGCTTTCAATAATAACTTCCAGTTACCCATATCCATACAATTATGTAAGTAAAAGTGATTTATCGAAAAAGAAACATTGGAACTGAATTTGCATCATTCACTCATTGTATTGGATTATTCGGTCACACTTCTTCAAATAAATCACCTACCAACTCAACTTTGTATTATTGACGACTGAAATAAAAGAAATAAAATTGGAAAGCCCTTATTCGAGATCCAGACAGAAGGATGTATATTTTTGCTTTTAAAGGCAAAACATATTTTTACATAAGTGGCTCATTTTCCTCCGAGGAAAGTTTAACATTGATTTATTGATAAATTTGCAAAATAATGTGAGTTTGGCCAAGTGTTTAGCTATGACGACATTTTCCCAAACTGTAAAAACAGCATTTATTAACAGGAAAAATCCTTGTTTAAGTTTTATTTTAGTTCTATACTAAATTCTTCCCAATACAACCGACTTGAAACTCAATTAAATCTATGTCTTTTGCCAACTGATATCGTTAATACGTTTACAGCAATACCCAGAAGAAAGGTAAATGGGACATTGGCAATTTGTAACCAAATTTAAACACTTACCAAATTTCTTAACGAAAATAATCGTAATATAATGAAGATCTCACTCACAAACGCACCAAAAATCACTAAATATTTTGTGTTCCGACCAAGGATGTCGACGCGTGCAAAAAAATCGGTTGAACAACAAAACTCGCTCAGAATAAACACTGAGGCGGCGCAAAAAACGGCAGCAATACAAATTATTTCAATATTAATTTGTTTATATGAAAACCTGGAACGCGGATTCTTATTCAACTGATAAGTGGTTTTGTACAATATACTTCAGTACCTTCATAAATATATCGTACCATGTTCCCAAGGGATTTTTAATGACAGTCAATAATACTATAGAAAATCCCCAACTTTACCATTTTAACACCAATATAAGCGTTTTGCTTAACATACAGTACAAAAAAAAACTGGGAAACAAGTTTATTAATTATTAAGTAATATCACAATAGACTTTTAAAATAACAAGCGTGGTGACAACTTATTCCCAAGCGCGAATAACTTGATGAAAAATAGAAATTGGCTCAGATATGTTCGCTTATAACATTGTAACAACGCATTGTAATGATTAGATATTGTATAATAAAACGCTTATGCAATAAATTACCAACAAAGGTGTAAATGGGATTTTTGAGATATTGCAATTCAATTATCCAGCTAAAAATCTCTGAAATAATGCTAAAAAAAAACAAATAAATTAGCTTTTAATGAACTGACGTACCACAATAGCTTTTCCGATGCAACGAAAATAATGTTAAAATATTAACTGTAATCACTAACCATGTATAAATAACGAGTTCTTTAGCCGAAAGCGAACTGTGAATTAAAGAGCAACATTGATATGTGTAAAATATGGATTAGTTTGCTTCGATATTAGTTTGCTGACAAACACAGAAAGTGCATTGTGCCATAAGATTTAACATCGCTTTGACGGTTGGAAAAATTCAGCTATATCCACATTAAAGTAAATTCAAACAGCAGTTTGCAACAGTTTTTTGGAATAATAATCGTTAACATCAAGTACGTGCAAAAACTGCGCTAAGTATGGCTGATATCCACTTTTTGCGACCTTTTTCACCACTTTAAAGAAGTAAACCATAAAATCCTCAAAGTTTTCAAATATTTTCTCCAACTTATGGAAGTTGGGGTGTACGTACGATCCATTTTCGCACTTCCATCGACGGGACTTGAGATAGTAATAGAATTTTAGAATCACCACGAATATTTTATGCACCATGTTTCTCAAAGCAACAGACTTTTGGTGAAGCATACACCTAAAATTAAATTAAAACTACATCAGCAATGCTTAATTTTAACTCTTTGCTAAATATAACTTCTACTATCAGCTGTTATGTTATGAAAATCATAATTTTCAGAACAAATTATGAGAAAAAACTCAATTCGTCGACAAATTGACTCATGAGCTTTGTATTTGCATTTCAACAGTATATTTCTTGTCAAATTGAAAACATACAGGATTATTCCAAATTGTCGTCATTTTTAAAGGCTCATCGGGGCCCAGTTAGTAAGTACAGAAAAAAAAAATCAGTCAAACATCCAAAAATCGCGATTTTAGTTTATTTATTATATATTATTTGTTAAACATCAAATTTTGAAGATGAGATTCAAACTTGGCTATTTAACCATTATATCAAAGCTGTTGAGATTGGTATTTTAATATTTTAATATTTTTCATTTATTTTCTAGGTCCAAACGATTAAGTAAAATAGCTGGTCCAACGTTTCCGGCCCACGCATTAATTTTAAATTATCTTCGATAAGGAAAGATTATTGTAATACGTTATGTAATTATATGTACTGAACTTGTACTAAAACCTATGTAATGTAATATGTGGATTTTGATCGGAATATTTATGGCTGTTGTGTAGATTTGTGATTCCACTCCACGTAAAGCAGGCTTTATCGGTGAAAAGGATACTTTTGTAAACACAAACGTTCTGATTTAAAATTAAATTACAAAAAATCACCCTTGACTCTAAGTCTTGCGGTAACAGTTCTTGATCTACTATGATAAAATAAATAACTTACACAGAGTGAATCACCCTGTATAAATGGTAAATGTGACAAATTTTAAATTCAAGGGAAAACTATTCTGCAGTTATTCCATTTTCTAAGTATGCTTTCCTTTGATGATTTTCATACGAAACAACAGAAATTTGGGAAATGTTTATGAGAAAGACATATTTCCCATTGGGGAGCCCAACTAGGTAGCAGGGATACCTGCTAAGTGATTGTCTGATACATTTTAATAGAACGCTTCGAGAGCTCTTTTCATCCTCAAGTCATAAGTTAAATTCCCAAGATCCAAAGAAATAGACCTAAATTTTAAATAATTCTTCAACACTTCCAATCATATATTGGAACAAGCATTAAGATCTTTTCTGTAGAACATTTAAGCACTGCTTTCTTAATTAGTCAGCATTTTCTTAGTTTTTAGGGATTTTTTTATTTACAACTTTTCTATACTCCAAAAAGGCTCCCAACGCAACCGACGAAAGTGACTCCATATAATGGTAGTTTAAAACTAAATGAACGTATTTACCTGAAAATTATATCCTTAATATACACATTGTGAGCCTCATAGAGTTCATCCAAACTGGAAACATTTGCCAGATTATTCTCAAACACCGACCAACTGGGCTGCAAGACATCTCCAACAATATAGTTTTGCAAAGTTTGTACAAAATGGGACATTATATGCCTACACTGGTGCAAACGTCTATATTGAGCAGACGACATTAAGTATATTTCCTTTTCACCTGTTTCTTTGGCTAATATTTTCAGTTCCTACCAAAACAAATTAACCCGCCTTATGTATGGAAAACTCGACAAAAACTATATAATCAATTCAACCCTACATGTTGAATCTGCTTCGAATAAAGTGAGCAATGCTTATCTGATGAGTAGAGCGCATAAATACTTACCATAAATAATTTCTTCATGACCCAAGAAACTCGATTTACCTTCAAAAGGAATTTAAATACTCGGTCATATCTGTTTACAACGTCAGATGGAAGCAAAATATTTAAAGGCCATTTCACTTTGTAAGTCAGAGATAAACAGTCCAAAACATCTGGATCGTTTAAATCAAAACACTTTGGTAAGCTATTGATCTTAAACGATAAATGATGAGCGTGCTGTTGATATTTATTTGAATTATCCAGGGCACCAAAAACTGAAAGCAAATAATTTCTAATACATTTACGATAAGTATAAAAATGTTCTCGAAATACCTAAATGCTGTAAGGTTTTTCCATTAATCAGTTCCAAAGGAAAATTTGCACTATACAATTTTTCGAACAAGTTTTCCGTAATACTTCTGCCAAACTCTCCATCTTGCAAGAAGAAGTAATCTCGCAGACTCTCCAAATGGTCCAAAAATCTCAACTCCTCAACAAAGTATTTCAAAATTTCATTATTTGCCAGATTCAATTGTGCCATCAATGGAATTGAAAGGCTTTCGTGCAAAAACACTGTCAGGTCCATTTTTGAACTGTTGTTAGCTTCTTCGAGTGTAACTTTCTTAGAGAACGTAAACGCAGGTTGAACTACTTGCGGCTTCTGGAAAATAAATATTTCTGTACAGTTACAGTATTTATCAAGTGTACCCAGTAACGTGTTACTTATTCAGAACCTGTTTAAGCATTACTTACATTAATAAAAACTCAATAAATTTCAGAACTTTGGCTAGATTTTGCCAGGCGCATAGATCAGATTCTTTGGCTAACAGGAATTACTTGAAAACTCGGAAAAACTTTCTATACTGGTAAATATTTCAATAATTGCGATGCTAATTTAATCGAAGTAGTCATGGGTACCACTGTGTTGAGTTGGAATTTTGACTTGATGCCGTTCTCTGCGCGTAATGTGTTATAGCTCGTGGCGTCTCACTGCACCGCACTTTGAATTACTGAGCTGAATTAATGAGCTTTTAACCCAGAGGCGGATTAAAGTTTTACGAGGTCAGGGACTGGCACAAAAATTGGAAACTGTCATATTAATAGAAAATTATTTTATGTTAGGCAAATAGTCAGCTTAGTTATAGTGTGAATTTGGTTGCAATTGAGCTCTTGGTTACTTCACAAGAAATTTTCAAACTTAAAATAAAAGGCGAAATTTGAATACCATATTCAAGATCAGGCCCCGTTTTTTGCTCATTTCTCAGCAACAGACTGAGCTTGAGCACCGAATAGAGCATTAATCTGAGGCTAGCAGATAAAGCAATAAGCCAGATGAGATTGAAAAAAAATACAAAAGGAGCGAAGATGATCATAACTAGAAGATAATAAAATTAAGCTCCAATGTAAATTTTGAATAGGTCTAGAAATCAAAACTATTAAAGAACATTTTTAATTAGTAGAAATTTCGTTGCTTCCTATAATCGCTCGGAAGCTGAGCAACAGTTTCATTTTTGAGTTATTTCAGTTATTAATTTTGGTCTCGGTGTTGTGCATTAATCACTGCAGCTGAATGAAATTCAGAAAAATGTAAATGGGTCTAAATTTAAAATTAAATTAGTGAAAGATTGGTGTTTGGAGAGTTTTTCGTTTAGTTGTTGTTGACTTTCGTTAAGTTGGAACGTGAAATTCGCCTTTGAAAAAAGTATCAACAATAAATAAACTGAAATTGTACTGCGAAGTAAAGCAATGAATCATCGAAAGGACAAAAAGCAAATTATTACATAATCGTTTCTATTGTGTTTAACAATAACAACATTTACGAAGCACGCAAAATTTAGGATTCTATGTGATTTTTAATAATTTTTCAAAAAATTATGACATTTAGAGTGCACTCTTCTTTAATTAAAGGCACAACTCTGAATTTGTAACGTATTTTTCGTTTCTGAGAAACACATTGCAAAATGTGTCCCGCAACAGTTTTTTAATCATGCGAAAAATTTCTTAACCATTAATGCAGTTCGAAATTTCGACGACATTTAGAACACACTATTTTTTATTGCGCGCACAACTCTGAATATGTAGATCATTTTTTGTTTCTCAGTTTTTTGTTATAACTCATCGCGTGTCAGTGCCCGGCACTTTGAATTACGCTTAGCAATTAACCCAGGGGCGGATTACAGCTTTTTGAGGCCCGGGGCTGGAATTTTAACAGATAATAAAAAAAGGTCACCATATTTTTGGAGCAACATTTTACCACTTTATCGGAATTTTATTTAAACACCAAAAAAAAATCACTACATGGGTGCACGCGACTCCACTGAGTTACTGTGGCTGTGCGTTGGGTTAGCGCATCAAACAGTTTCGGCAACAATGTGCGCAACAATGTGTTTGGGGGATATACACTCGTGAATGTAGAGACAATAGGACATGTTAATTTAATTCTAAATATTACCTCATAATACAATGATGTGAAGCTGTTTCTCGAGGAAGTGGAAACGCTTCCAAACCCTTCCGTTTGAGTTAGTAGAGTGTCTCCATTAGTTGTGATACTATCCAATTTTGTATCTGTACTAAAAGCTATACTGCTAAAGGTTGCACTTCTAGGAAAATCGCTTAGTGGTGAAGCTGTTTGAGCAATGTCGCTCATTGGAGTAGAATCTACAGACATCGGTAATGCTTTCTGGGTGTCGCATTTAGTAATTATTTTATCAAAATCCAGGTGAAGCGATGTCGATTTTTTCAGCGATCCAGACACTTTTCCTGAAATAATCATATAAAACCGAACATTTTAAATATTGCTAATGACGCAACAGAGAAACGTACCTTCGTTATTCGTTACAGCACTCCGCATATTCCTATTGACATAATTATCATTATCCAGAGGCTTTGTTCCATAACACGGAACAAAGCACTGATTGTGTCCCATGACTTTATTTTTATTGACTTGAGCCGTGGTCAAAACTCTATCCGTACTAACGGTCTCTTTAAAAACGTTGATTCCAAACTCAGAGGATAGAACTTTTAGTTTATTTCGCTGGGCGTCCGTGAGGTTGGTGAAAGCAGGTTTTTCCCTACTTATTGTCAGCCGTTCATCAAGAATGTTCGTAATTCCCAATTCTTGGTTCAAAACTTTTTGTTTAATTTTGCGGGCAGTTTCAAAATTATCTACCGCTTGCTGAATTTCATCAGATAGATGAACGGTATCAGGAATCACTTTGGTAATTGTGTTGCCGTTAGATCCTAAAATTCACCAAATAGTGTAGCCAATATACGACAATTTTCGTCCCATTAGGCATATGTTTGCATGTACATTTATGGAAGTATCTTTGTATTGAATTTTTCTGCTTTTTCACATTTTTTTGAATATTAATTATCTGAGGGTAGAAGGAGCCGTTAGCCCTTTTGTATAACAAATAAAGATTTTATGCTACTACTAATTATCTGCTCCAGTTCCTCTCAATTTTGATAAATGAGAAGGTAAATTTTGGGTAAAATGCATCAAACGGATTTCGACATGAAAAATCCGATATTAAATAGTTATCTTTGCGGTAGGCCAATTTTCAATGCAAAAACTTCAACTTAAATTTGCAAACTTAGCTTAGCATAAACGCAACTGTTCAATATAAGAATTAAATCAGCTGCTGATCTCGATCATCGTTGATCGTATTGAATATATTGGCAGGACTCTCTAATAAATGTATTCCAACAAATAAATAATTTTCAATAAAACAGAACTTCTAATTTTTTATTTATAAATTATGTTGCCCGTGCAATAGATCTTCAACATAAAAAATATTTCCTGTCACCTCAAAATGAATTTTTATTGCATGCTTCTACCAGAAAGCGTGAAGTGAATTCTGCCTGACAACAAGAGACTTATTAGTTCGTATTAAAGATTTTTTTCTTGTTTATTCCTATGCTCCGGAAATTTAATGGAGTGGGTAGGGCATCTCCGACGACTCTACAAGGTAATTTTTTGGCTTTTAAGTTCTTAATTTTATAAGGTCGATTTTAATTTTTGTTATATTTTATAATTTTATATAAAAATACTTTGTCAGCTCACAGGAAGTTCATTCCAGTAAAAGTTGCGAAATTCACAACATGTCAGAACATAGATAAATAATCAGAATGAATGAATATAAAGGATAAACGTGTTCAGTCGAGGTCTGACAATACAGCTTTAAGGGATGCATCAAAGGAATAGGAAGCTAGTAAATGAAATTATTTGTCATTTTTAAATTCGTATGTAGCATTTATTTGTACCTATTCAGTACCCTTGCACTTTTAAAGCAATATTTATAAGGTTATCAATTTTGTTTGAATATTTGCTTACGATAACAACAGCTTACTTTTATAGGCAAACGTGGACAAAAATAACTAACGGAAATTTATTTACATTTAGATACATAATACTTTTATTAACTTTTTCTGTAGAAATACTTCGATTTTGAACGAAATTGTCTGCTAATTATTGAATATTACTAATAGAGGATTCGTTGTTCATTCAAAATACTTAAGTGGCCGATGTGCATTTTCAAATTCAAAGCGCCAGCCAATCATACAAATAAATAGTATCAAGACGTTAGTCGCAAAAACTTGTTTCGTCGAGTGATCGTTAAAGTTCCGTGCTTCCTGTACAATATTAAACGTTTGTCTACTGTAAAAAAACTTTGTAAAATTAGTACTTCCCTCTCCAAACCGCATTCCATATCTGAACTTTATCTAACTAGAAATGATCAAAATGTATCAAAATACCATGGATAATATCGAAATTTAATTTCAATTATTAATCTTTTCGGATCTTATTTGGCGAGTAAACATTGTGGTGAGTAAAAAGTGCAATCAAGTGCAGTTGAAAGAAGAAAAAATAATTGCATGACGTCATCATTATTACAGACTGATGGCACTAGAAAAACAAGTCAGGAAAAGAGACAAAGAACATTTATTGAAGATATTTTTGCAAGCAAACCTCATGAACCGCATTTTTTATATATCTTATGTAGAGAACGGAAATTTGCCGCCAAGAATGCACCGAGTAAAATCACAATTAAACGCTAATGTGCAGGACTAGCTACCCGCTTGGAGTTTAAAGTGTTAAAATGTGTTAGTGCTTGTTTCTTTCAAACCCAACGCGGTTTTCATCGCAAGACATGCTAACAACCAAAAAATCTTAAAAAGCTGCCCGTCAAATTAAAAGATGCAAATTTTAACAGGTACACAAGAGTAATGTAAAAAGTTAAAGCGCACAATAATGCTTACTAACTACTTACCTGTGGACTGTTCCGTGTTAGCGTTGAGTAAATCCATGGATTCTGAACTATGCATAGAAGACACTTGGTCTTTTTTGGATAGTGGAATTTCTTCATCTGTTGATGAAATAGGTTGATACTCATCGGGTGCCGAATAAAAACTTTCAGATGAGCTCTTCGCTTTTTCCTCTGCGACACTCTGTTTCGAGCTTGAATTATTTTTCCTTAATGTTAATGCATCGTCTATTTGTATATGACTATTGCCTCTGATGTGATTATAAATTTTCTGCTTGCGCATATCGGCCAGTTGACCGAGTTTAGTATAGTAATCTATCATTTCAACGCTAAAAGTAAAAAATAAATAAAGACGAGATCCGCAGAAACCTATACTGCTAAAAATATATCTATGTAAAACTACGATTGAGAATATGAAGAAAAACTGTAGATTTCACGTACGCTTCTTCCTTTAACATTTGTTCCCTCATTTCATCTATTTTCATGTCCTCCTCGATGTCCCTGATATTCCGTTCGATATCTTTATAAATATTTAACTGTTTCTGTTCAACAGCACACTCGTATTGCTCTTTTAGTATTAGTAGCTCTTCCAATTTCATTTCGTGTTGTTCTTGAATGCTTTTCTGACGTTCCACTGAAGCAATGAAAGCTTTACAATGTAAGGAACTCTATATGCTATATTAATTTATTAACTTACATTCGAGCCTTCTTAATGTAACAGCTCGTTTTTTCGCTATTAATTGCAGATAGGTAATATCGGATTCTCGAGACCTCTCTAAATACCGAGTGAAACTAAATTTACTTCCACACTGCATGGAAGCTTCTAAATAATATTTTGAGGCACTTTGTTCTAACTGAGTTAACTTGTCGCGTGTTATGCAACAAGTTAGCACTAATGGATTTTTTCCAATTAGGCATGCACATAAATTATTCTAAAAAAATTATATAACTTATAAAGTTTCCTCCAACAAAGCTTGATCCAGTCCAAATTTGTTGCTTGCTTTGCATTTTGAATGTGATTGGGGAATTAAAAAATGTTTAATGAACTAAACTGCGTATACTTACTCCTGGATTGCATAACTGTAATAAATTTATAAGTCGGCCACAAACTAATATTTGATCCTTTAAATTAACTAAGAAATCAGGAACAATATCCTCTTTGATTTCATAGCTTCGCGTCCAATAAGTTCTACATCGAGTAGTTAAATATTTTCGTGTAGGATTTACGAAAAATTCCCCATGCGGATCATTAAAAGTTCCTTTGATCAACCATTGGTGTAAAAATCGGCTGCAAATATTAATATAAGTTAAAAAAATAAAAAAATATTTACGAAATTTTATGGGGTTTGAATATTATTAATAGTTTCTTAGAGTATGATTGGCAACTGAGTGCGTTGGCGATGAAAAATAAAAAATCCTCCAATAAAGAAAAGCAATTGAAATGTAATTTACATTAATTCGGGATAACATTAATGTACTACATAATCTATTATTAAGAAGTTTGTTCGTTGTTGGCTCATTATTATTATTTAAACAGTCAATCTGTATTATAATTTTTTCGGATTTGTATAGAGTTCTGCATTATCTACATATAGAGGATGTTCTTCTATCATTATACGAAAAAGCATGACAAGAAATAACGCTTTTTAAAAAACCAAAGAAGGAAAGCATTCAATCTGTAAATTTAAATGTCGTAACATATGTTTTTCTATTAATTAAACTTAAAGTGAGTTTCTTGTCTCGTTTACCACCTGTTTTCCGCTCTTAACTGTGCAGGCACTTAACTTTTTCTTAAACTTTCTTTTATTTTTATCATAATGAAACAATCGCTTCTTTCTTGCAATAGCGTTATAAACCATACCAGAGCTCTTCTGCTAAGTATCTAGTAAGTAATGTAAGTTAAAACCAAAGCTCATCTATTAAAAATTAAAATGGTAAGTCAAGTTGATAAAAAACATTAATTAAAATACCAATGGCCTCAGATTCTCTTCTCGCACTTGTAAATAAATTAAAAATTCAAATGAGTTACTTTTCTACATTACTAAATTATCAATATTGAACTCCTTTATAGACTCGCGTTAAATTATATAAAATTTGAATAAATTTTTCGTTTCACCCATTCAAACTGAGACAAAATATACAGTATGTCCCCGAGAGCCAGAGCGGAAGCTTTCTGAAATAATAATTTGGAGAAAATCTGAAATTCAACATTCAAGTAAGTATTAATATTTTTCACATTTTATAGGTGGTTTGCAAAAGTCATGAACTAAGTGCAGAGTAGCTTTTGCTTGACAAACATAAAAAATTATTAACAGGAAATTTTACTCAAAATTGAAAAGTACCTACATTTAAATATGCAATTATATCAATTTACGGTGACAGCACATTTCCTTTCTTTCTCAAAAATTACCTGACTTCTAAAATCGAATACAGATCACAAAATTGTTTATTAAAATACTAAATGTTAAACTAATAAAATTAAAAATTATTTAGAATGCAGAATGTAAAGACATTTTTAAGTATTTTAGGTTTTAGATCATGTAGAACGACATGGTTTTCCTGTACCAATTTTTTTCCTCATAATTAATAATTAAAACTCTTTCATGGTTGCAAATGAAGTACATATACACATAGAGCAACACATTTCCTGAGAACGTGCCAGTCACTCAACTTGTATGCCGTTTCAGTGGATTTGCTTAATATTTCATAATTAGTAATAGGTATGTTTTCACTAAGAATCTAAATGTACGCGCAGAAATTCAGTTATACATTTTCTAACTATAAAACATAAAAAACAATGCTTACCTAAAGTATATCTGACAGCAAGGGTAAAGAATCGAGTATAGTACATTGCAAAGATTTTTATCACTCAACCCCAGTACTTTCTGATACAAATAATTCAGTAAAACAACCCCATGTTGAGTCTGTTCAGTTTCAGATGCAGAAGGCCCGACTTTACAAATCGTGGCCAGCGTCGTTACCTGTGCCTGAATTTGTCGAGTTTTCTCATGAAAATCCAGGAAATGTATATTGTCGTGAATGCTAATAACTGCAGTGTGATAAAACTGAAGGTAACGACAAATACTTTCGCACAATTCCTACAAATAAAAGATTCATTTCGTATATGTATTTGTTCATTCAGTTAAACTCGAAGCAAGAAAATATCAATATTTTCTAAATCGAACTGGCGAACTTACAGCAAATACATATCCGGGATATTTGTGTTTTCTGGTAGTAGGATTAAGAGCCGACATGTGATTTAAAGCTTTATAACAAGTTCCGGCTAAAATAAAACTACTGCAATATCTTTCCATTGCATCTGGCGTAATTCCTTCCACCATGATACCAGAAGCAATAAAAAATTCGTTTTTATTGCTTAGTAAAAATACATCAGATGGAACACCCACTATAAAAGAATAGAGTGCATAAATGCCTATTTGCTACACTTGATCTAATTCAGGGTGTCCCTTAAAGGTTTTCACTTACTCCCGCCATATAAGTCTAGAGCATGAAGGTGCCAATGCTCAGAAATGCGACTTTTGAAAAGTGTTTTCTTTTTAGTTTGAAATATATACTTTCCCGTTGAAATGTATCAATTCGAAAATAGATAAATACATAAAGAATATTATTTAATAAGCGTGTATAGGGCTTTTTTAACATTCCACCAGTAAAAATTTTCAAGCCACTGGAAAGTATTAATTGTAATAATAATAAAACATTATGGTTCTCATTATATATAATCATAAAGATTACTATTAGGATAGCTCATTCACTGGCATTTGACTCTAACATTTAAGTAAACTAGTACTAAATTTACAATTTAATTTGATTTTAAATTTGCAAAAAAACTATTCAGGGTTTTCAACAATAAACAAATATAATCAAACACATTTTATTCGTCGAGTTAATATTTGTATGGGGAAGAGAGATGAGCATTGTGGCAATTTTCTTTGAAAATCAGTAGTCTATAAATAAAGAAACATATTCATTACTGCACATATTTTTAATTGCTCAGGTTGTGTTTACGCCTAATGCAAATTCACAACTCCAAAACAGTTCGAGATAAAAATGAATATTTCAATTCAGCGCCCTAACAGCTATCATATGGATAATATACAAAATACATACAAAATTATAAAACGTTGTAACTTCACTGAGTCACAACAACTTATTGATGCGATTCAATCGAAATGGCAGGGAATCTATCGTAAGGGCCTTTTCGAAAGAGCATTTAAAGTACTTAATTCTAGGGTAACAAAAGTTTAGATTAGGTACACCTTTCAACGCCTTTAAACATTTTAAAAGTTTCTTCAGAAATCCTCAACCAAAAGAAAAATGGCAACAAAAATGTAAATATTTTGAGGCCATGGAAGCCCAAACATTCCATCCATGTCGCCAAAACGATAAAAAACTCACTTGTTAACATTTTGAATAGCTCTTCTCAAAAACTACATTCCATTGGTTATGTTTCAATATAAATTTCTAACTTTAAAGCGATAGAAGCAATAATAAGATAAGGACAAAAGTAAAAAGAGACATGCAAGACCAGCCGTTTGAAACTAGTTTTTTTCTGAGGGTGAATAGAATTGAACAAATTGGAATTATTCGATTAAGAAAAGAATCGAATTAAGTCGATTAACTTAAAAATATTTCGAATTAATTACACTACATAATAGTGATTTTTACATTTGCTGGAGGAAGAAGTGGTACAGGCGTTTCATATCCAAAGGAAATATAATTTGAAGAAGACTTTATTTAGTAAGATACTCAGTAAGAGAGTTTCTTACAACGAGAGGTACTTTTAGAACAGAACAATTCGATTTAAAAAGACAAACGTTTAATAAAAGTATACTAAAGTTAAAAGGAGATCCAAAACAATTTAATTTAAAGTCCAGTAATGACAAAGATATATGTTGTAATTATTAATCTAAAATAAGGTGAAATGTCTGTATTTATTTGAGTGAACTCGATCGATTCATTAACATATACCCGAATGACTTCTTCTACCGAAGTTTTCCTTTGGATATACGAGCAGCCTGTTAACAATCGACATTAGGAGTTTAATAAGTTTTAAAAAAAGTGCTAAAAGTTGACACGGGATCCGACGGCACGGATACTAAGAACAACGAACAAATTAATTAAGGATATGACATCTTCATCCGAGGAGTTGGCAAAACTCAAAAAATCAGAAGCACTCCCACCAAGGCTCTACGGACTACCCAAGATCCATAAACCGGATGTACCACTGAGACCCATTGTGAGCGCCATTGGAAGTCCCACCTACAATATTGCAAAATATGTAGCCAAACTATTACAGCCAAAAATTGGAAAAACGGACAGCTTTATAAAGGACTCATCCCATTTTGTTCAGAGGTTGCACTCGTTGTCGTTATCGCCCGGGGAAATCCTTGTGAGTTTTGATGTGGTTTCATTGTTCACAATGGTACCAATCAGGGAGGCAATGGAACTTGTTGCGAGAGAATTTCCACCAGACATCGCCAAACTCTTCGAACACTGT